GCTGTTCTCTTTGTGTGTCTTTGCACTGCTCCGTCCTTGTAAGCGCTGCTGAAGTAAAAGCACCATGAGAATATTTTTAAGTGTAATAAGATACCTATGTTGCTTTGAAAGGCAAGCTACATGTGGTGCACAATTATTTCTGCTGATACAGAGACCATGGGGCCAATAAATTAATTTGTATATAGAAAATTTGTGTATTCGATCATTGAAGAGTCAATTTTTTAAAAGACGTAAATCCATTTATTGCCCACATAGCAGAAATAGTAGATCAGTATTGTGAAGTCTGGGAAAATTTTTATTGGGCACATAACTCAATGTCTAAATTAATAGCTAAATGTGTGCTTTAGGAAAGAAAGTTAAAGCTTTTGGATATTTACCAGAACATGATTCTGTTTTGATGCTAATGATATTCCTAAAAGATAAAAGGAATAAAATAGAGAAACTTCTCAATAACAGACACATGGTTAACTCTTTTTATTTCAAGAAAATATGATTGTTTTGCCTTCTTAATTACAGTAATTCCTACTCTGCTTTATTCAATATTTCATTTACTTAAAAATCTCTTTTTAAACTGCCGAGGGCACGTATCAGAATATTTGAAGTGTAGGATGTTAAGTTTTAAAAAACAATCAGTTTAAATAATATACATTTATATTTTGAATACAAAAGGCAGACATTAAAATTTGACAAGATATCCTATAATTCTCAAAATGTATGTCAGAATTCCAAAGCGTGAGGGATAAGATTATCTTGGTCATGAAAAGATGCATGGATCAAAATGCTCTCTAAAAAATGAGAATTTGGAAAGAAAAATCTTAAACGTTTGAATTGTGGATTATTCAAATTTAAAGAGAAACAAACTACGATTATGCTGTTGTTTCTTTCTCTGACCCAACAAATTGATAACCATTAGTGACCTGCTTTGAGTAGCCAATTAATATGAGATACAGGCAAAAGAAGATGGCTAGCAAAGTCATTTATAGCCATGTCTTACTAATTTTTCTAACTGTGTTAATTATTTGAGCAGTTTGGGCGTCGGAGGCACTTGATTTCTTTAGGACTTCTTTACAATGTGAGCATGGTTTTGCTGTTACTGTCATGTTCAGGAAAAAAGTGTAACCCACGATATTAAATCTAACATGTTACACATGTATGTTTTGAAATCTCATTATTCTATTATTTTTTATTGAGCTGGATTCATTAGAGGTAAGATCGTGGAGAATTTGATCTGGCTCTAAGTACAAGGCTATAAGTCTTCCAAACTCAAGTAACATGTAACAGTGGTGCTTTGGTGAGCAGGGATTTATACAACAATATACTTTCAGTGTACTTTAGAAATACAAACATTGTGTTTAAACCACTGCAAAATAAAAATGGAATTACTGTAATTTATTCTTACTGACATAGAGTTTAGCATGTAAGTCTCTTTTTTCATGATCTCTGAAAAATCAGATGGTCTGACAGACTCCTGTGGAATATATCAATTGATGAAGAATTTGTGACATCTGAAGGCAATGAAGTCTATTAATGGACAGTTAAAATTCGTCAACCAAAAGTTCCTACCCTATAAATTCCATCCATTGGTAATAATACTGTACACTTGAGCAGTGATTGCATACTGTCGATAGTACTAAAGTAGTAGAATATCATGTATATTAGAAAACACAGAAAGAGAAATTGGAAAAGGATGACATAAAATAAATGTAAATGACAATTTTAGTGTTCCAAGCACCCTTCCAGTGAGCCTTCATTCATCTCACTTGCATTCTGCTTTGATGTCACTGCACTTGATCAATGGAATGTAAGATATCTCTCTGCAAACATAAAGTTTCTCCTTGTTTGCCTATGTTGTCTCTTTGTTGTTCAAGTTTATTCTATAATTTCTGTTTGGTTCTTTGTCGCTATGTTCCATTTCCCTGCCAGGAAGTAATGTTACTAAATTGATCAGTCTATGTACTCTATAGGAAAACCATCTGATCAAACAATAACTGAAAAATATGAGTTACAGTTAGGCTAAAGTGAGTTTATACTGGTAGTACCTTTAATTTGGGGATGGTCATAGCTCTTTGTGTCTCATGAGTAAGATAAAAAATTCTCAAGTGACCTCATGTGCACCACCACAAAGGTATGAAGGACAAGGAACTCTTTATAAATTAAGAAATCAAGGATTCTTCTTCTCCCTTCTCCAACCTACACACACACACACACGCACACACACACAAGCACACACATACCTGAGAAATGATCCTATGTCTAAGTTCAAGGTTTTCAGGTGTGAAGACTTATCATGTATTTTCTTTTCCTATGCATATGGTCTATTTTTTCACTATAATTATATGTTCTTGCAACAAATAGATATAAATAAGAGAAATCAATGAAGTTCACATGTAAAATTTTCTATTCCTTGCTCCTCAAATAATATTTTTGACGATTTACCATCCATCTAATAAGTTCTGGACTCTTTGTATTCCTTTGGGAAATGGCACAAGGCCTTCCTGAGTGTGAGATTATGCATTTGGAGCTCTGATTTAGTGGAACAGTGTGTAAAAATCTCTCATAATCACAACACTCCCCATTGGCTCCACATCTGAAGATCCCCAAGGGTGCTGTTTGTCCCAGTGAACATGTGGAACAGATTATGTGCAGTTAATTGGCTCCAGGTCGAGCTTGTTACAGACAGTAGCATGCAGTATAACCTATGCAATTCACCAAATCCACCCACTTTAGGTTAAATCACACCTACTTCTCTCTATAATTCCTCCCAGATGCGGGACACACACACGTGTAGGTACAAAAAACACACAGATACACACACTGACATGCACTGGAAGATAGCAAAATATCAATAGATTATTGGAGATGTCGTTGGCAATACATTTAACCCATAAATTATCTCAATTAAAAGATTAACTATTGAATTCAAAGGATTGTTGGGAGGAAAAACAAAGAATTAGGAGAAAAATATATAAAGTTTAAAAAAAAGTTCCAGGAGTTTCAGAATTTTTGTTTTATTTTGTCCCTCACCCTTAACAAATGGTTCAGCACGTGTGGGCACTTATCGGAATGTCATACTAGCAAGGAAAGCAGTGCTTTGATTTTTAAGTTATTTAACAATATTAATGAGTTAGGTAACAAGGAACAGTGTGACTACTGTTCATTGGAAACCAAAACATCAATCTTCTTAACTTATAGTGTTGGACCACAGGGCATGTCTTAGCGATTAATGACCAGTTGGAGGAGTAGATATCTCAATACATAGCTAAGGGCCATTAACCTCAACTGGTCATTAATTCACAGGAAATGTCATGTACTGAGGTCATTATTGCTAATAAAATGAACACACGGAAAGTTTCCTCTCTATCGCGTGTGTACATAAACATACATTCACATTACATGCATTGTTACATGTCATAAAAAGAGTAGTATTACATATGTCCAGAAGCTCAGAAAAACTAAACCTAATGAGAAATTTAATATACTTAATCTCTATATTCAACTAACCTTTCACTCTTTTTGGAGGGTATGGGTAGGTGGAAGGATACATGTTTGTGTGGCAAAGCTGTGGAGCTGCTGTGATCTTCTGCTAACATGTGGACATAGGGAAAAGTAAAAGAAACAGGCAAGTGGGATTAGAGAAGCACTGATGAATATGGATGAAACCAGCACATATGATCTAAGACCAAAGGCAGTGTGGAATAACAGCATCGTTTGAGTCCTACCTAATATTGTATATTAGCTACCAGAACAGGCATGAGGCACATTTAAGCATTAGGCTGAATCCCTCTTTGGTTTCCTCTCTCTTTCACTCCACTGGATTATGCTACATTGTCTCACCCTTCGCAGGCCTATCATGCTTCCAGCTTCAACCCTTAACTAGGTATCATTGTTACCTGGAAATGTCTCTTTTTGCTTTTTATTCTCCTTTCTCTGTCCTCTATGAAACTATCCTTCTCTTACTTAAACCTATACGATACTCCTTTGAGCTGCCTTCCATAGCATCTTCTAAATATCTCGATTTTAGCAATTATTTCATGATAATTTATTTGTGTATAATCAACTGCTCCTTTCAAATAAGAATCTTATCTTTCTTCTCACTTTAATAAATCATTGGAGATGAGTTATGGTGTTAATGACCATAAGTGTATGTGTATTATATATTCTTAAATGCATATTCTTATTTGCAAAAAAACAGTAAGTATTTAAGGAGAATCTGTAACTCAAAGAATGCATCTGTGTTTTACTGGTGTAAATGTAAAATTGAAAAGTTGCAAACATGCATTTCTTAAGACAGTGAGTAAATTAAAACTCACATAACTTAAAAGTAATCCTGATAAATTTTTCTGTAGACCAGTTAAGTGACTCTGTTTTTTGCCAATAGCATATGCGTTTTCCTACTAGTTTTGAAATAATACAACTCTTTATTTTTTAAGAGTTTTTTAAAAATGTTATTTACAGAAGGGCTTTATTAGTGTTTTATTTTAAAATATAACTGAAATTTTTAAAACCAGAATTTTCATTAAGGACTGCTAATAGTGTAGATCTTTTTGGTCAGACAGACATTCCTGTTTTCCCTTAAATTATGTCATTAGGTGAACTCATCAAGAAATGTCAAGTAAATGTGAATAAAATATGTTATATGTGGCAAATGTGAATAAAATATGTTATATGTGACACATTCACATATGTCAAGTAAATGTGAATAAAATATGTTATGTGTGACCTACGATATTCTTAAATGAGTATCTAAATGAACTTGATTCTTTTCATTTGTAGTAATCTTCTAAATCAAATAACTAAATATGCATGGATTACACACAAAGACAGAATAGTTTGGTACTTCCTACGGGTAATTAAAGTAACTGAGAAAATATACTTTATTAAGCCTTCATATTCAACATTTCATGAAGAAACAACATACAATTTGTAGTCTATTCTTAGAATGTTTGTCTTGTATAAAAAATTAATACATCCCTATATTTTATTTTATTTCACATTCCCAGATTGACCTTAACTTCTGAGATTTAAGGTAAGTTTAAGGAACCTTGATTCAAAGTCATTGAGGCATTTTAGTAAAGACTTGATCTACCATAAGAAAAATACTCTTATTTAGACATTCTCTTAAAACTAAGCCATATAGACATATTTATTTTGATATTAAATAATTACAAAAATACTAAAGTATAATACTTTTTTATTATGGCTAAAGCTGTTACCAAGAAATTATTGGCACTTGAAGCAGGTACCACATCTGGAATCCTCCCAGGAAGTACGCATAGCAAGATCCTTTCTGTGGGCTATTTATTAGAACATGTCGAGGAGAAAAGAGAAGTTGAAGACTGCATCAAGAGTTGAAGGTCACTTGATTCTGCCATAATGAAAAGCACCTAAAGACTTAGGGGCTAAGGAGGCTGATTCTAGCTGAAGTCCAGAACAAATGTTTTAATCCATCTCTTATTTGCCTCATGACCTTGAGAGAATTATCAAACCCTGTACCTCAGTTTCCTCATCTGTAAAATGAGGAAAATAATTACCTATCTTTCTTGACCGTCATTAGCATTGATTAAAAAATAAACAGAGGCATATTAAAATTTTTAAGAGTTTATTTGTGCAAAAATCAGTTTGAATTGCGTGGCACCAAACTGGAAGTGGTTAGGAGCACCCCACTGATAGGATATTAGGGCGAAGACTTACACAAAGAAACTTTCGGAAACAAAGAAAGGAAATTATTTTATTGGCTATAGCTTAAAGCCTAGTTAACTGGTTGTTTTAGTGTTCTGAGTTCATAGCTTTGAGGCATTTACAGGCTTAGATTTTGATTAGGTGGGCTACCACGGCATTAGAGCCACCTCAGTCTAATGACCTACTTCTTCAATGAATTTAACAGCATTAAGTGATTTAATTTATGTAACACACTTCTTAAAAAGTATCTGGTTCATGTAAATACTCAACGAATATTATTTGTAATTATTATTACCAGGCTTAGTTTGAAATATGTGTGTTTTGATTTATTCCGTGTCTTAACAAAGACAACCAAGGCAGCTTGTTTATGGCAACCTAGTTAAAAACCGCCTCCTCTTATAAACTCTTTTATTTTACAGTTTGTTTTTATATTCAGTGCTGCCCTGTGTGGAGTAGTATAGGGTGCAGGTAAGATTGCCTTGTCCCAGGCCTAAAATCTATACTGGTGGCCCTGACCTGATCATGTCCAGTTGTCCCAATTTTAGGTGAACTGTTAAAATATGTTTTGTCAGAAACGAACTCTCTGAAAATGACAGCTTTTATTAAATTTTGCTTGAGGATCTTTTCCTTTGAGGATGGTATGGGGAAAGTGTAGGCTTCTACCAGTATTCTTATGTGATCAAGAATTCATCAAGTTACAGAAAGAACTGGTCACTCCTATATTTGCATGAAACAAAACAAAACAAAAACTTTAGTAGAAGAATAGTTGCTAATTAACATAAGTAGTTGACTTTTTAGGTCTGTACTCATGTCCTGAGTAAAGCCAGACCTGAATTTTATTACTCAGTTCTGATTCGTTTCCCTTGCAACAATTTCTAAGAGCTGAACAAGAGACAAGGAGCAAGTATTTTTTTAAATCTACATACATTCATAAAATTATAATTTAGTGAGTGTAGGAAAATCTGCAAACTGCTATATTAATAGTTCTTTTCTTCTTTTTAGATTAAATTAACGCTGTTTGAAACAGAACATTGTTTTCATCATGATTGTTACTAAAGATGAGAGACCAAAGTCCAGAAACCATGATTTTTACCTTTTTCATGCCCTGATGATGCTAAGCATGACCATGCTGTTTCTTCCAGTCACTGGAACGTCTAAGCAAAATATTCCACGACTCAAGCTAACCTACAAAGGTAAATGTGTCAGTGTTTTTCAGGTTGCCTTCTTTTATTTAGAAATGCATACTGACTTCAGTGAAATGTTTGTAGTATTGGCATCAGTTAATAATCAGATTATTATAGGGGCTTCCCTGGTGGCGCAGGTGCTAAAAACAAAAAACAAAAACCAGGTGCCAAGATTTGAGAATTACGTGCTAAGAATGGTTAAAACAAAACAAAACAAAACATGGAGCTCTCGGGATTCCCTGGTGGTGCAGTGGTTGAGAGTTCACCTGCCGATGCAGGGGACACGGGTTCGTGCCCCGGTCTGGAAAGATCCCAAATGCCGCGGAGCGGCTGCGCCCGTGAGCCATGGCCGCTGAGCCTGCGCGTCCGGAGCCTGTGCTCCGCAACGGGAAAGGCCATAACAGTGAGAGGCCCGCGTACAAAAATAATAATAATAATATTATTACAGAATGCAAAGCCCACTGATTCATTATTCTTGGTGAAGAAAATAGACACCAAAACTGTTCATGTATGCTTTTCAGTTCATTATTTACAATTTTTAACTACTGATTAGCATAATTAGGAAATTTTGGTCAGCAAGTTGTAGTCAGTTTTTTGTTTTTTGTTTTTCTTGGCTATGCTGTGCGGCATGTGGGATCTTAGCTCCTCTACCGCAGATGGAACCCGCGGCCCCTGCATTGGAAGCATGGAGTCTTAACCACTGGACCGCCAGGGAAGTCCCTGTAGTCAGTTTTATATTAAAATAAATCAATACCTATGTATGGTCAGGCCACTCAAGATAGCTGTTCTCTTGCTCTCTGTAAGTCCCCTGTTCAACCAGTGCCTGCTTCACCTATACCCTATTCACCTGACAGACCTTCTACATGCTTGCCCCATGCCCCAGCTAATGATTGTTCTAATTTTAGCCACCATGATAGCCTATCAAAGGGGCAGTTAGGGGCGGGCCCCTCTGCTGGTTTCCCTGGTAACTGATGAGCCAAACTGCCGTCAATTTCCCTTATAAGTGGTAACCTCCCCCTGCCCGTGGGAGTGAAGCCTGTCAGCTTTGTTCTGCTTCGGTGTGAGCCGCATACATGGTGGGGTGTTGCTCCAGAACCTTGCTTCGGACATGTAAGATCTCCCATCCATTAAACCTTTGATGGCTCTGTCGCTGCCTCTGGGCTCTTTGGTCTTGAAGCTGGGCAAGCACAAGCCTTGTAGGCCTGTGGGGTGCAGCTCAACAGCCTAAAAATAGAAAAATCATTAATTCTATACAGCTGCTACTAATTCTTTGATCCTTAGTATTTTTTAAAACAGTAAGATATCTTCAAAAATATTAACAAACTAAAATACCTTGAATATCTCAAGCATATACATATTTTATTGTTTAAAAAATAGTCTGTGTGAAAAGCTTAAAATACAGAGATGAGAAAACATTTAAGAAATGAAATCTACTAAGCTAATTGTTTTTAAATGTTTAAATTAGTATGAAAGCAAAGTTTATATACTAATATGTGTTTATATGTAAGTGTAATATATCAATATATATATCGAGAGAGAAAACGAGCCAAGTTTCATGCTCAAAGATTTCTTTTTTTTTTTTTTCTGTAATATCCCTGTGGCTTCTTTAATACCTAAGTAATGAGAGGAATGTAGGGAACTCAAACTCCTCTATTCTGAACTTGGCGGGTAAAAATCATGCTGGCAGTTTTAACCTTTAAGACAACTTATTTTCAGCTCAAATTAAATATCAATAGTAAAAGCAAATTTGATGTCTAAGGTAAGCTTAAGTGGAATTATCTTATTTGACTCATTATACATTTCATATGTTGGTATTTGTTTGGAATTTATACCTCATGAATTAAAGAGTTAAGGTAACATTTTTGAGTTTTTGTATTCTCGAATTTCTAGAGCAGAGACAACTAATCTATGGTTAAAAAAATTCAGGGCATTGCCTTTGTGCAGTTGAGGGAAGGATCGAATGGAAAGGGATATGAGAGGAAACTTTCTGGGCTTATGGAAATGTTCTCTATCCTGATAGAGATATGGATCACCGAAGTACATAATATGGACTTTTCACAACCCATCATATTACACAAGTCAAATTTGTTTGCCTGTTTTCAAAATTTATCTTAAGAACAGAACAGAAAACAAGTATGAAAAGCCAAACAATAAAAAAAAAAAAAAGAGAAAGTTTGAAAATAGATTGAAGGGGAAAAAAAAGGAAACACTACCTGGTTTCTATGATATAGTGAATAACACAGGAGCATTGCATTGATGAGGGTGGACAATGCAAAATAAATTAGACTTGGAAAGAAACTTTAATAATAGTTAATAATTACTCACTGAGGAGTCATCATAAGCAAAGCACTGGTATAAGGAGTATGTGTGAATGATGTCATTTTATCCTCATCACCACCCTGTGAGGTGGGGATTATTATCATCTGCCTAGAAATGAGGTTACTGAGGTACTGAGAAATTAAGGTCTCAAATTAGCTGGTGGCTCAGCTCCTGAGTCAGCCCGGTGCTTTGGAGAGCCTGGGTGCCTAATCATATTTCTCACACCCTAGACAAGAGCAGCAGTTCTTGCCTGAGGCACTTACCTACGGAAGTGAACTTTAAAGTTGACAGAAGCATCATGCTGATATTTGACTAACTGATTATATGATTTCAATTGTCAAAATTAAATGGAGTTGAAGGCCACACGCTCTTGGTAGCCAAAAGAGATTTACAGACTTTGATAATCTTATGGGAAAAAGAGAGATGGTCATTGTGCTAATTTGTGTTCATAATCAAAATTTTATATGAGTGACTGTAAAATATTAACTCAAATGTGGTAACTTGATCATTAGAAAATAACAAATCAGTTCCTAAAAATAAAAAAATTAAAAAACATTAATTTTATGTAGCTGCTGCTAATTAGTTTATCCCTAGTTAGAGGAGTTTTTTTTGGTATGAATCTATGTTTTTGTATTAATACTTGGAATCAACCATATAAGAGTTCAAAATCCTGTTTTATTTATCTCTCTATAGATTTTCACTCTTTCTAGCACCTAGTACTTATATAAAAGGAGAACTGGTATAAATGTTGGATTAAATGCAATAAGAACTATTCTTTGGATGGCTCTTATATTTAGTATACTTTCCAAATGTTGTATTTTTTAGATATTTATCTACATGTAGATTGTCTATTGATACATGTCAAAAGCAGTAGCAAAGACTGAATGCAGGGAAGGAATTTTAAAAATCTCTCAACTCACCCTCAATAGACACACACACACACACACACACACACACACACACAAACACTCCCCCCTCACCCCCTCTCCCCCTTGTCTCCCCTTTCTCCTCTCCCCCCTCCCCCTCCCTCTCTCCTATAGCGCCCTGTGGCTGCTGTTAGCCATTCATTGCCAGATTGTATGCTAATAATAGAGTAGTGATCTTGGCTAGGAGAATTACTGACAATGCTTACAGAATATTCCTCTTTCCACCTATAAGAATTTGGGGACTTTTCTTTGGAAATCATCAGTTCAGCACTATGAAGTAAGTATGCATTAACCATACACTTGGGAGAATTTCAGCAGTTTCCCTAGCCACCTCTTCTCTGCCATATCTGAGAGTGTAAAAGGAAAGTAGTTCAAATCCTGATGTAATAGTTTTAAAAAGTAGCCTATTCCTGAATAAACAAAGTTATAACATAAAAATCACTGCTAACTTGGGGTTATGATGAGGAAAATTCCTACCTCTGAGATAATAATCAGAACTCTCCTTTGGCATTTTCTCTTTCTCTTATGACTGACTAATGAGTGAAGATCACCTAGTATCACCCATTGCTTAGTTTTGAGGGAGTCTAAAACTTCATGCTTGGCATTAAAATACTGCCAGCATGTGAGGTTAGAAAAATCAGTCAAAATGAAAAATTAACTGTATTTTCAAAAATAATTCATTTTTATGGGCACAAAATCAGCTTTGCTTTCCATAACTCAAGCTTCCTTAGGTGCAGACCAGAGACACAGCCAGTATCAGTAGAGTTAGCTACTTTAAACAGCTGCAAGATTATTTTGAGGGATTTCTTAAAGGCCAACAGAAATATAATAACCATTTTATCCAAAGAATGCTCTTTGATAAAGACTTAGCTTTGAACCTCTGAATCCACAGGAGCTTGTTTGGTTCTATTGTTGTGTAAAGAGATTTCCCCTCAGTTGCATATTTTGAATTCTTGCACATTTATGCATACTAAATCAGTTTCTTGAGTAACAAGTAAGGAAACTTAGAGGTCAGGATGTTCTGTATTTCTGGGTTTTGTTTTATAAGGGTAATATATATATATGGCCTTACAAGGTGAGCTTCTCACAGTGACTTGTATGCTTTATACTGCAGATGTAGTAAATATAACTTTTGAAAAATGACCAACTTCAGTCTTGCAATTACTGTAAACATTTTTTGTATTATAAATCCTCATGAAGGAACTCATGTGGGTTAAGGATATTTATACCCAGGAATCATTAGTATCTGCAATGGTATTTGTTTGGACAACTCCTAAAGATGAGATAGGTAATATAGCTAAAGAGGGAATGGGCAAAAACTTTGAAAAAGGAAGAGAAAAGTCACTGTCCCCCTGGAATTTCTTTACCAGAGAGGGAGGCAAACAATAAACAGGTAAACAAACAGATGAAGGTTATTTCAAATAGTGGGAAGTTCTATCAGGAACATCAAACAGGAGACTGCATCCAGGACCCTACTTAGACTTTAGGACACTATGCAGAACCATCATTTTTATACCCATTTTATAGATAAGAAACATGAGGTTAGAACCTGAAGGCCTTGCCCCTGTGCAAGAAGCTGTTAAGTGGCAGAACTAACTTGTGTGTTTTCACCTCTCTAGTTCCAGGCCCATGTTCTTGCCACCCTGTGCCCTTGAGGGAGACATTGTATGTTCAGGAACACAAATATCAAGATATATATATAAAAAAAAATACAAGGTTTCGTTATTACATCTTTGGCAGTATGCTCTTCTCAATAACTACCAA